AAATAAAAGACTGTACACTTAGCTCCTCCAGTTAGTGTAGTTTGACGAAAACAGTATCAGATACTAACCAACCATACTTCAAAATTTGCATAAATATAGTTTAACATGTGTATAACCAAATTGTGCCTCCAATAACAATTTTAGAATCCCAGTTCCAATCCTTTAACTTGACAAATCAAGATTATACAATTTATTTCTCCATATAATACCATAACTGATGCGTTGTATGTTAGTTTGTAAACATCAGTTAATTCCAGCTAAGAACACATATATTTTAACAGTCATATGCTCTTAACACAACTAACAATATGATTCATAATTTAAGATTATGCAATAAAACCAATTGCTAAAACAGTAAGCAGCGTAATGTAAATATTTAACCATTCACCTACGAGCCCTCTATTTAATCTTAAATTAATTCCTATCCTCAATAACTGAATGTGAACTTGCTTCTTAACATTATTATAAGTCTCAAACACATATTTACAACATTCAGTAGCTTCAAACAGTTCCAGAAAATTCAATTTCAACCAAACGAACCACAAAAAAACAGTTTCTGGACCTTTTAAGAGAGAGCAGGCTCTAGAAATTAAAAGAGCCTGCTCTTCTTTTCTTCAGAGCCGGCTCTAGGCTCATTAGAGCCGGCTCCACAACATCCTAGAGCCGGCTCTACCTTCTAGGAGCCGGCTCTAAGGGGTTATAAGAGCCTGCTCCCTTTTCCCCTTAGCAGCTTCGTCCGCTTCGTCGTCTTCTCTATTTTCTGTGAGTACCAGTTCTTTTAGAAATTTTTAGTGCATGTTTTAAGGCCTAATTCAGTTCCAGATTGATTGTAAAACAATGATATATCATCAAACTAGAATTGAAAACAAAATACTACACAACGAAGCCAAATTACAAAACTACAGTTTATTTACTGTGGCGACCTTGCGAGCGGGTGTGTGTGAGCGTGTGCAGGGGGCACCAGTAGGCTACCACACTGGGCGAGCTATAGGTGCACAATCCCACATCGTCTGGGTGTGGATGGGGCAAGTGTTATATGTAGATTCAACACCCTTCTATGACACAACGCGTTTTAAAGCCGTGATGGCCGTGAACCCATCAGAACTCTGTCAGGCTACCACACTGGCGAGCTACGGGTGCGGTGCACAGTCCGACATCGCATGTGGGCGGGTGTGCCGTGGGCGGGTGCGAAAGACACTGTCAGGCTACCACACTGGCGAGCTACGGGTGCGGTGCATAGTCCCACATCGCCTGGGTAGAAGAAATGGGAAGTGCTTATATGTAAGTGTGTCACCTCCAATTGGTATGAGGCCTTTTGGGGTGAAGCCCAAGAGCAAAACCGTGCGGGTTCAGGCCCAAAGCGAACAATATCATACCATGTGGTGGAGCGGGTCGTTACAAATGGTATCAGAGCCTGACCCAGCCGGAAGTGTGGCCAACGAGGACGTTGGGCCCCCAAGGGGGGGTGATTGTGGCGACCTTGCGGGCGGGTGTGTGTGAGCGTGTGCAGGGGGCACCAGTAGGCTACCACACTGGGCGAGCTATAGGTGCACAATCCCACATCGTCTGGGTGTGGATGGGGCAAGTTCTATATGTAGATTCAACACCCTTCTAAGACACAACGCGTTTTAAAGCCGTGATGGCCGTGAATCCATCAGAACTCTGTAGTTAAGCGTGCTTAACTTGGAGTAGTACCAGGATGGGTGACCCCTTGGGAAGTTTCTGGTCTGGGTGAGCCAAAAGCGGATAATATTGTGTCTGGCCAGGGTGAGGGTCGTTACAAATGGTATCAGAGCCTAACCCAGCCGGAAGTGTGCCGACGGGGACGTCGGGCCTCCAAGGGGGGGTGGATTGTGATGACCCTGTGGGCGGGTGTGCCGTGGGCGGGTGCGAAAGACACTGTCAGGCTACCACACTGGCGAGCTACGGGTGCGGTGCACAGTCCCACATCGCCTGGGTAGAGGAAAGGTGAAGTGCTTATATGTAAGTGTGTCACCTCCAATTGGTATGAGGCCTTTTGGGGTGAAGCCCAAGAGCAAAACCGTGCGGGTTCAGGCCCAAAGCGGACAATATCATACCATGTGGTGGAGCGGGTCGTTACATTTACTATCTTTCTGAAACAACGAAGAACAGGTTCAATTCCATGAAGTTAAACTTTGATTAAATATGCATAAAAGTGGTAATTAAGCCTTAGTTTAATCCCTGGAGTCTTCCTAACCATGCACAGAACACAGATTAGAGAGATAGAGAAGAACAAGACTTGCCTTGAGTTTCAGACTTTGAAACTCTAATTCCACAGTTTATGTAGTCTTCCTTGAACTGCTCTGCCAATTCCCTAAGTTCACGCTCTGTTTCTTAGCAGCCCTTGCTGATACAGACGTAGCTTTATGTTTTCTAAAACCCTAAACCCCAGTATGTACATGTATATATAGGCTTCAATTTACCAAATCCTATTCCAACTCTGACTATAAGTCGGCCAATGATAAATCCTAAAACCCTAAATTTAGATAAATAAAATAATTACACCGTGAAAAACTTAAACATTTAAATTAAACCAATTAAATTAAATAAATTAAATTAAGTCAATTTAAAAACAACCCATTAACATAAAAATGAAAAATACTCAATTAATCAATTCAAACAAAACCAAAACCAAAACCAATTAAAATAACAACTAAATAAAATCACAATTAATTCAAACATTCCAGCAAGCAAATAATCAATAAAATAAAATAAAATGCAATTAAACAAATAAAAAAAATACCAATTAAATACATGTCACATAGGTAAACAATTAAATAAAATAATTAAACCAAATAATCACGCAAAAATATAATAAAAATAATAAATAAATGCCGAGACTATCCTTTTAAAATTAGGGGTATTACAATGCATAGATCAGAACTAATAATTAAATGACCTTCTCATGCATTTTAAACAAGTTTTATAATCATGCTAAATCCGATCAAATTGCTAAAATTTAATTAAGCAATTAATCCGTCTTCCATCCGTTAACAGCATAGAAAGTTCATTAATTTTATATTGTTTGTCCCATTGATTTGGAAATCAACTTTAATCAGTTCAAGGTTTTAATCACACCCAAAATTAAATATTTAACCCTTCTGTGAAGTCCCATTAAATTTCTGAAATTTAAGCAAGCCACTCAGTTCCTTTCTTCTGTTAATAGCTTGCACAGTTGCAGATTTTTACACTGCTTCATCCTTTATCATAGAAACTTAAACCATGCAATAATAAGTTTAATAACACTTAGAATTAACCATTTAGACCCTCTGTAAAACCTCAGAGTCAACAGAATAGTTCCCATGCTCCAACAGCAAAAAAACTGTTCGTAAAAAAAAAAAAAAAAAAAAAAAAAAAAAAAATTCAGAGAACACTATTGAAAAGAGCCTTCTCCAAAAAACTAGAGAAGGCTCTAAACCACCTAGAGCCTTCTCTAGAAAACTAGAGAAGGCTCTAAATCACCTAGAGCAGGCTCCACATTTTAGAGCCTTCTCTTTCTCCCTTTGAGCTTTCTCCTTTACTTCCTATTCCACGTGCATAATTGCATCTCTTATGCACTGAAAGCTTATAACAATACCTAGATTGCATGTTAATCATCTTAGTCTACTTCCCACACAGTTCCATACTCAAGAATCATCCACACAGTGCACCCAAAAACCCACAATCGAACCAAACAACGCACAAAACTGCTTCTGCAAACAAATAGGATCACAGAGCCTTCTCCAAAATAGTGGAGAAGGCTCAATCTGCCTAGAGCCGGCTCTCCTACAAGGGGGAGCCGGCTCTCCTTGCCTAGAGCCGGCTCTCTCCCTTTTGAGAGCCTCGACTTTGTTCCCTCTTTGTTTCCGACCATCTGCCTCGTCTCCGGCCCTTTCCTACCCCTCTGTTCTTCCTTAAAACTTGTCCTCACTGTCTAATATATATACAATGTTAATCCCCAGTCCTTAATTTACCACAGTACAAGTTAATATAGTGATATAAAACAACGACTAATTTAATACTTTGAAACAAACAACGAAGAACAGAGTTGCAAGAATTGTTTTCAGACAATATGCACATATACAGATGATCTAATTAACATATTCCAAGCATGTAAGATTCAATTAAAATTCAAATACAATCCTAGAGATCATCAAAGGATGCACAGAACACAAGCAAAGGGAGAGAAACAGAATAGAACTTGCCTTTCGGTTTCGGTTTGAAACCTTTCAACATCGTCTTCTTTCTAGGTTTTTCGGCGACCTTAGTTGCCATTGAATCTCCTGTACTGCTCTTGGTTTAACCCCACGAGCAACTCAGTCCTTTCTCCTTGGTCCAACCTTTAATCCATAACGGAAATCCTAACGAAACTCTCTCTCTCTCTCTCTTCCACACAATACTCTCTCTGTTTCTCTATGTCTCTATATACGAATAGGGTTTTAAAAAACCCCTTACAAAATTATCACAGTATATTTATAGGCATATATAAAACCTACGTCTACTTATATTCAGAGATGGAATCCCAACTAAACCCTAGTCGGCCAATTTTGTTATACGATTTAAAACCCTAGAATTTATAATACACCTTAAGTGACGGTAATATTATAATTTAATTAATAATAATTACTAATTATTAACCTAATCCACATATACATATATACCCCATATATACATGCATATACTTCCATGGGTAAATACTGTACCCATTTACACTATCCAAAAGTCCGTAAATCCTAACCAAGCCCAACCTTGTTTTAAAAATAAATAAATAAAACAATGCATTTAATTAAACATTTCAAAGGCCTCTTAAGTATATAATTCAATTAGAACAAAGAATTCAATTAACCAATTAAACATTCCAACACAACAACTAATCATTTAAATCAAATAAAAAAATAATTAAACACAAAATCAAATAAACACACAAAAATGCCCTAAAAATAATTTAAATTTCAATTTTATCCTTTTGAAAACTAGGGGTATTACAATATGGTCCTGGCATGAAACCACCTAGTTATCATGAGGTGAGAGTTCCTTTGCTTAGGAAGGAATTGGATAATACCAATGCTTTGATGAATGACCATAGAGAGGAGTGGTCAAAATTTGGATGCTCATTAATGGCAGATGGGTGGACAGACAAGAGAAGGAGAACATTGTTTAATTTCCTAGTAAATAGTCCAAGGAGAACCACGTTTCTTGAATCGATAGATACTTCTTCTTTTTCAGAGGATGGTGACAAGACGTTTGACTTACTTAATAAATTTGTAAACCGCATTGGAGTAGCAAATGTCGTCCAAGTCGTCACAGATAGTGAATCAAGCAATAAGTATGCCGGTAAGAATGTTCAATGTTTATAACTTTTAGAGTTTACATTTTTTACAAATATATAATTTAAATCAATTTTGATTCACTCATTCTCTTTATATCATTTTTCTTTTTTCCGTTTGGTTTCAAATAGGGAGGATGTTAGAGACAGAACACCCACATTTGTATTGGACCCCATGTGCTGCTCATTGCTTAGACTTGATGTTGGAAGACATTGGGAAAATACCGTCCATCTCTAGAACAATGCAGAGGGTAGTGGAGTTGAATAGTTATATTTATATGCGTCCAAAGTTGTTGAACATTATAAGGAACTTTACTCACAAAAAGGAGTTGTTTAGGCCTGCTAAGACTCGATTTGTTACATGTTTCATCACATTATCAAGTATTCACAAGCAAAAGAATAACTTGAGAAAGTTGTTTACTTTAGAAGAATGGAATCATAGTAAATGGACGAAAGAGGAAGCTGGTAAAAGAGTTGCTTCTTATGTTTTGATGCCTTCCTTTTGGAACAACATTGTCTTTAGCCTTAAGGTTTCCGGTCCTCTTATTCCGGTTTTGAGATTAGTTGATGGCGAGAGAAAACCTCCCATGGGATACATTTATGCGACTATGGATAGGGCTAAAGAAGCCATTGTAAAATCATTTGGGGGAGTAGAAGATAAATACTCAGATATTTTTGAAATAATTGATAAGAGGTGGAATGTTCAACTCCATCGCCCTTTGCATGTAGCAAGTTATTATTTGAACTTAGAATACTTTTATTCAAATCCGAAAATTGAAGAAGATGAAGAGATTGCAAAGGGTTTGTATGCATGCATTGTAAGGTTAGTCCCGGATGTCAAAGACCAATACAAAATTACTAAGGAACTGCCCTTATATTCTAAAGCTGAGGGCCTCTTTAGTAATCCCTTTGTTATTAGACAGAGAAGTACACGAGGACCAGATAAAGTGGTAAAGTATATTAAGTTAGTATAGCTAAGTGTTAAAATTATTTTGACAATACAGTCGATAGAAAGATGAAGTTAAAGTTGCTAAACATCATTATTATTATTTTTTTTTAATAGCTAATTGGTGGGAAGCTTATGACAAGTCAACAAAACTTCTCCAAAAGTTTGCTATAAAAGTTTTAAGCCTTACTTGCAGTTCTTCTGGTTGTGAACGAAATCGGAGCGTGTTTGAGCATGTAAGTATATACTATCTACTAACTAGGTTTGTAATTTAATTGTTGAAAGTTAAAATTTTAATTTTTTATACTTACTAGTTAAAGTTGAATTTATTACAGCTTCATAACAAGAAAAGAAATAGGCTCGCTCAAACAACTTTGAATGATTTAGTGTTCATAAAAAATAATAGAGCATTGAGGCATCGATATAATATGCGTGACATTCTTGATCCCATTTTACTCGATGACATTGATGAGAGCAACAAGTGGTTAACGGGGAGAATGGATGATTCTAATGCAGAACATGATCTAGTCTATGAAGATGATTCCTTGACATGGGGTGATGTTGCTAATTTTGCTGGTATTGGAGAGGCTAGCAGGCCGCAACGGTCTACTAGATTAAAATCTAGTTCTAGTTCACGGTTACCAACAAAGGGAGCAGGAAGTTCTTCAGTTCGACTTGTGGATGAGGATGAGGATGATTCAGATGAGATAGAAGAGGATCCTGATAATTATGAATCATTCAGTGACGATCAAAATGATGTTATGCTTATTAATGACGAGGATGATATTTAGATTCATTAGTGTTGTCTTTTTAGGAAGAAATGATGTTTATGTTTGTTTTAGTTTTATCTTATACTTCTCCTTAGTTGACTTTTGCATATTTATGTTAATATGTTTGATTATTCACTGTTTTGAACTCAAGTACTTGATTTACTTGGTTTTGGTATCTTTATGTTGAATATTTAACTTAAGTAATTCATTTAGTTGACTTTTACATCTTTATATATACTATTGCATCTTTAATACTTTATTGGGTGTTTGTTTTTTTTTTTTTTTCCAACGTGCGCCTTACTTCAGTCAGGCGCGTGCCTCGCCTTGCGCCTCAGGCTCCAGGAGGCATTTGCACTTTTGTGCGCCTTGAGCCTTTAACAACGATGGCTGAGATGATGGTGGAAGGAGGTGGCGGCGACAGTAGTGGTGGTGATGGTAGAAGGCGATGGTGATAGTGGTGGCGTCAATAATGATAATGGTGGTACACAATAGTGGTGGTGGCAGCGACGGTGTTGACAACAGACAACTACAATGGTGATGGTGGTGGTGGTGCACAATAAAATAGCATGATGATTGAGGTTTAAAGTTTAAGTGGAAGAGATACCATATTTGTTAGGAGATTGGAGGTCAATATATATTATTTTCTTTGGAAGTGATGGGTAGACAACTTTGGGATATTTTGTCACGTGCTTGATGATCTACCGGTTCACGTTGATAGGAAAGAATTGAAATATATATGTGTGTGTGTGTATATATATATACACACATATGCACATATTACCGACGACAAAAATAAAAATAATACTATCAATGATCCATCATCAATCTAGCGGCATGGGCAATTCTTTTAGAAGAAAATTCAACACATCATCGACAAGAGACAGCCTTCTTGTGGGACTCACCTTAATGTCAACAGATATTGCACAAAACTTGGGCAGGAGATGGAAAATTTCTTTTTTCGAGCAAAAACAATGATAAGAATTAAACTAATTATCATATGGTCTTTTTCAAAAGGTAATATTGTATTACTAACTAATATATATAGGGTCGACTTTTTGTTACATTAAAGTATCATCGATCGTCAATTGTGAGCTGGATACACCACATACACCTTTACTAAGAATCTATGCTAATTGAATAATGGAAAGCTTTTTGTGAGTTCCAAGTTTTATATATTATGATTCCTTTTTGCCAGATCACATCTCATCTAGTTACTTATTAAAATGACACTTACTTTGAGAATAAAAAATACAGTACAAGAAAGAGAAAAGATTAACAAAATGTTCAAAATCCATATTGGAATTTGAATAATGTTAGACATGAACTTTTCATATTTAATTATTTAATAATTTTAATTTTTTTTTTTTCAAAAGTTGCCCTTGGGTCATGATGGCATACATTTTTCTTTTCTTTTTTTAATACAATTTAGGCATATAGTTTATTAAATTATACAAAATAACTCTCTAATTATTTTCAAAAAAGTCTTTCTAATTCTTCCTTTTTTCCCCTTCTTATTTATTATTATTATTGTCTTCAAAAAAATTACATTTTCTTTCTTCAATCAAATTATATTTTAATTTTTCCTTCAAAGTTTTTCATATTTTTTTATTTACTAAAAAATTATTATATTAATGTGTCTCTTGAATTAAATTCCTGACTCCGTCTAAATAATCGAGTGATTAAGGCTCCGTTTGTTCCAACGTAAAATATTTTTTTCTAAATTTTTTTTTTTTTGGAAATATATATATATTTTTCAAGTAAAATATATATATTTTTATTTTTTGGTGTTTGGTAAAGGTTTAAGTTGAAATTGAGAGATCAAGTCCATCCAGTGGAGCATGTAAAATAATTTGTCGAAAATTGATAAATTAATTATTTTTTTAATTTTAATATTTATTTTTTAAAAATATTTTATGACAATCAAATACTAAAAAATACAAAAAAAAATATTTTTAAAAAAATATTTTACTTGGCCCGGTGGGCTGTGTGGCGCCACATGATTTTTATGGAAACGAGAGTAATTTTTTAATAGAAAAATTATAAACACCAGTGCTAAAAGAAGCCGACTTGTTGGGAAAAGTAATGTGAAATCATTGAAGTTGGTCAGCATGTGCTTTGAATTGGATAAGTGATTGAGGGAAACAAAATTGGAGTTGGAGTCGTTGACTCACCTGTTAAGAAGGATTTGGACTACTATTTTAAGCATCTTTAACTCTTCTCGTCCCCTTCTCATCAAAATAAATAAATAAAAACTTTACTTTCCGAAAAAATAAATAAATAATAATAAATAAATAAACTCATTCTCATCTAATTGGACTAATATTTTTACTAAACAATATTGCTGATCTCCATCCATTTCAACCAATTATACCAATTTATGCACATAAAGGTCTGAATTTTACACCTCAAACGTTGTATATTTTTTTCTACAATGAGACAAATTCTAGTAAAATACAAACCAACCTCTCTCCATCATCTTCACTCGTCTTCTTCAATCTCAAGTTCATCGGCATTGCTGAACACAAACCACTTCTTTGTCTTGCACAACTTCATCAAATAGTACCACCCAATTCCACCCACAGTCATCAACCCACTCACCAGATATACAGTCTTGGTGGCTATCGCCATAATCAACACCAAAAACCCAGACGGAATCAAGCACATCATCACCAGTCCCGGCAGCCTCATCGGAACACGGTACGGCCGCTTCTTCGCCGGAAACTTTCTCCGCAACCAAACAAACGATGCAAACTCCAACAACATCCCCAAACTGTACAAGAAATTCGCCGACGATATAATATCCGTGAAATTCATGTACGAAACAGAGAGTGTGATCGCAGTGGACACCAAAATCCCAACCCATGGCGTGTTGAACCATTTCGATCTCACCCCGAAAAACTTGGGCAAAAGACCTAAATCCGCCATACCCAGAACTTGGTAAGCACTACTGCTCAACTGTGCTTCGAACAATCCGATCGCCGACAAAACAGCTCCGATCTCAATCCAGATCTTCAACCACTTGCCGGAGATAATCTCCGCCGCGGTGGCGTGAAACCCAGTTTCCCACTGGCTCTGATCGACCGTCACAGACCCGGTCACGGCCAAGAGAGGGATTATATAAGCCAAACAAGTGAAAATCACGGCGGTGAACAGAGCCACCGGAAAAGTCTTCTTGGGTTGGTCGACTTCGCCGGCGAGAGTACTGACATTGTCCCAGAAATTTAGATTCCAGAACAGGGTGTTGAAGAACAGATTCCAATCCTTCTTCACACCCTTTTGGCCTAAACTTCCCCATCTGTGTGGTTTGATTTTGGGTATGGCGATTAAGGACATGAGGATGAAGGGGAGGAGAGAGACGATGCCGAGTGCGACGGCGGCGTAGCCGACGATGGTGAGGCCGGTGTAGTTGAGGAAGGAGAGCCCGAGAGTGGAGAAGAGGATTGCGAGGTAGCGAGGGAGGCCGGAGGCGAAGACGGAGAAAATTTTCTCGAGGTAGTCGATGCAGAGGATGGGGAAAGCGGCAAGGTTGATGACGCCGGAGAGGAATTTCCAGGTGGCCATGAGGGAACCGGCGAAGGGTCCGAAGGCGCGGTGTGCCCAGAGGACGAAGCCGCCGTTGCCGGGGTAGGCGGTGGCGAGCTCGGCGGTGATGAGGGCCTCAGGAACGGACCAAATGAAGGGGAATATGAGGAAGCCGAGGATGGCCAGGAGGGGGCCGGCGGCTTGGACGGCGGGTTCCTCACCGTAGGGGCCGCCGGCGACTTCAAAGTAGATGAGGAAGATGAGGGGGATGAGGGTTAGTTTCTTGGAAGAGGCGGCGGCGGCGGCGGCGGCGGCGGTGGTGGTGGGGAGTTGGTAGGGGGTGTCTGTGGGTGGTGGTGGAGTTGTGTCTGTGGTGGTTATAGGTGGTTGTGGGATGTGGGATTGAATTTCTAGAGTCATGATTGGTTAGAAAGAAAATTGGAGCAGGCTTTGAGTGAAAGGATCTAACTGATGATCAGGTCATTGGTTGCAGAGGGTCAATTTACATTTCAGTTTGTATATATATTATATGGTTGAAGTCCAGAGACACCATGAGGTGGGGGGGGGGGGGGGGGGGGGGGGGGACAAGCACAAGACAATTAGGCTATTTTTTGTCAACCATGCACCCTTCAAATTTGTGAAGAGTCTATTTTATCTTTCACAATTTTATTAATTATAATTATAAAATATCCTATAAATTACATCAAAACCTTTAAAGTTTGTCGGAAAGACACATAGACAAAACTTAATTGATTTTGAAACAATGACACCCCTTAAAATTAAACAGTGAACAAAGGCATCTCTTAAATCCAACTGAAATAGAAAATTAATCAAATTACCCTTTGACCAGTTAATGGACCTTTTTAACTTTACAAACTAATAAATTAGACAAAACTACCCTTATGAACAATTTTTACCTATTACCTACAACCAGAATGTTAGGAATATATAGAATATATACCTTCCTAAAGAAATATATATATATATATACATCCCAAGAAAATTCTCAACATATGAATCCTAAACTGAACGTTGGTGAAATCATAGTAGAATTATCGAAAAGCAATTATAAAGATGGGGACTGTAAACAGAGGGCAGACCTTAAAAAGGCAGAAAAATAAGGGATTTTTTTCTATGTGAACAACAACGTAAAAGGGTTAAGGAGTCTCCCATACTCATATGGGAAGAGAGAGAGACCAACAAATAAGAAATTCCAAGAGGAAAAAATGGTTCTTCTATTAAAAAATTTGAATGAATCCTATGCCCAGAAACATAAAATTTCAAAAAAATATAACACCAATTATATACTAGAACAAAATATTAAAAATAAAAACAGAACAGAAGAAGTTCAAAAAGAAAAAGGGTTCATTTAAAGTTTTAAACCAGTAAGAAATCTAATCAGTCTTTATATAATCATCAAATTCCAATCTGAAGAAGCTATATGACAACAAAACTCGATTAAGAACGTATGAGATCATAATAAAACGGAACTTCATTCATATACTGTTATACACATAATAGACATGTATGCAGTGACGGACCCAGAAAATTTGGTGAGGGGGGGCGAATTTTTAATTTGTGGGTACAAAATTATATGATGGGTTTATTTTTGTAATTTTAGTAGGGTTTTTTTCATAAATTTTAAAAAAATTTAAGTATAAAATGAAAAAAAAAAAATCAGTGGGGCAAATTATAATTATAGTGGGGCATCTTCATAAATTATCAAAATTTGAAGTATAAAATGCTAAAAAAAAAAAAGAATCCAGTGGGGGCGAATTGTAATTTTAGGGGGGGGGCATTTTCATAAATTTTAAAAACATTAGGGTATAAAATGAAAATATTAAAAATTCAGGGGGGGCATCTGCCCCCCCTAGTCCCCTGCTGGGTCCGTCCCTGCATGTATGCTTCTGTATATATACATATATACCTAAGAAGTTGTTAGTTAAATAAGAAAACATAGAGCTAGGGTCAAGAGATTAAAAACCCAGAAGAGAAGCAATGTAAATACCCTGTATTCATCCCCAAATTCCAAGTGAAATGCATCCCGAATTGTCTCGGCGGAAGCTCTACGACCTCCACCAGTATCACTCATCAAGATGAGCACATTCTTAGTCCACTCAGCACCAATCTGCACCATCTCCATGGTCCCATCTTCCTCCTCATTAATATCATATTTGCACCTCTTCTGGCTGCTCCCGCCGAAACTACCAAGCCCAACTCCCTGGAACACCGAGTTTATCGATTTTCTCGGCAAGATCGCCGTCATCACCATACCTATAACTACACAAACACCAACCCACCAGAGAAAATCCAAAACTCAACAGCAGAATTTTCCTAATCTGAGAAAGGCCTCACTGTTCAGTCCGTGGCCCTAAACCTTCAGGGCAATTGCGTCATTTTGATAGGTGGAATATTTTGTAATAAATTTGAATTTAATATTAAGAGGCAATTTTGTCTTTTCATATGATTTAAAGCCTTGTTTAGATGAAATTTCTTCAAGGGGGTGTCATTGTCCCAAAAACAGATAACTTTCATCTGTGTATCCTTTTGGCAAACCTCAGGGGGTGTGGCTGTACTTTACCCTAAAATATCAAAATACTTAAATGACCAAATTATCCTTTTATCTATATACATATACCCACACAACAGTCACCAACACCCCAACCCAGACCGGAAGATGAGAGAAAACCAGGAAGAAAAAAAAAAACTCTAAATCATCAACTCCGACAAAGTACAGGAATTTCAGATAAGATTTAAAGCAACAACGTCGACACGAAGAAGAGACCAGCCACAGATCCACCGACCGTCAATCTATTCAAAACGGTGCCATTGGGAGTCAATGACAGAGATTCTCTCGGAGCTAAAGAGAACGACGATGGAGGCACGATGATACTGGAGCTAGGGAGACGAAGCACGAGCATCGGAGGTTGGGGGAGCAGGTGAAGAAGCAATCGGAGAGGAGGTCGGGGCAGTCACCACGGGAGACGGAGTCGAAGAAGGAGTCGCAACAGCTTGCAGTAGAGAAGACGACAGTGAGGACAACGACTCGGTCGAAGACGATAAACCGAAACACCACACCTGACCATTCGGTCTTGAATTGGTTTAAAGGTCCCATTATTGATTAGGCGATGGATGTTGGGCGTTGAGGTATTGAATTGGTACCCAATTCGAAACCCATCTGATGAAATCAGGAGACACAACTGGGTGGTTGAGTTTGGTGAAAGGAGGAGCAAAATTTTCAATTGATTCAGAGGTTTGATTGGGGTGGGATTGAGATTGAGATTGACATCATCAAACCCATCTTTCCAATAACCCATACTGGTGGTTATTCAATCAGATCATTTTAGAACCTTACAATCCACCAACACTTAAATATTATTGGATGTCGGGCTGATATTAAGTGAGATATATATATATATATATATGGAGAGAGAGATTTGTTGTGTATATTATGAAGAGAAAGAAAAATGAGTAGAGAGACAGAGACTGATAGTGGTTGTTGATGGTTGGTGCTCGGCCATGGGTGGTGGGTCGCGGGGGAGAAGCGACAGCTGTGATAAAAACCCGTGACGGCACCTTGTCGGTTCCCTTTGCCGAAACCTTTTCTGCATAATGGACGTGTCGTCCTCTTCGTTGATTATTTATGTGTGTGTATATAGATTATTGAGATATATATATATATATATATCTAAAAAACTATAAAGGTTAAAAAGGTAATTTCAGCATTCAGATTGGTCAATATAAAAGTCCAACGGCAAAAATGTCAATTCATCACTATTGGGGTGTCTTTGGTAACTGTATCAAACTTGAGGAGATGTCTTTGTCCTAAAATAAGTTAAGTTTCATTTATTTATCCTTTTGGCAAACTTCAGGGATGTTGTTATACTTTACCCTAGAGAGAGGGAGGGAGGGAGGGAGAGAGAGAGAGAATAAGATTCAGGGGTCAAGAGGTGACGAGGATTTTTTGTTTTATTTTTATTTATTTATGTTTTTTATAAAGTGAAGGAATCTGTGGGCAAATAATCTAATAGGAAAATATAGTGTCCATCTAATTTCATGCTCTAATATTTCATTTTAGATCATGATAGATAAGATATTTTATACGTGGTGTGACGGTGGAGAAAATTTACAAATTATTGCCCGTGAAAATAAATAAATACAAGCTGATTTATCGCTCTATCTTCCAATAAAATTACAAAACAGTCCCTAAACTACACAATGTTTAATTCTTATAATTTTTTATACCATAATTGTTCTTAAGATTCTTGGTGCTAAAATGAAAATTCATTCAACTTCTATTTTACATTTCCTTCACCTCTATCAGCTATTGGTTGTTTCTTTTTTTTTGTTCTACTTCCTTCTTTGGAATATATTTTTTTGAGTTGTTTTTTAAAATATTAATTGTTTCTTTTTACTGAATCAATATATTAATATTATTTTAACACTAGATTTTTATTCGGTGGGGTTGAGAATAATATATACAATTCATGTATAGATCAAAGAGTAAATGAATAGATATTGGGTGAGTTCGGTACATCATACCGCGCATGTGGCCAACTCGGATGTGCCTACTGCACACTGCATTGGGTGCTGGTTCACCCAATACTTACTCCACATGAAGGCCCTTTAAAATGTAAATGTAACGAAATTTTATTTTAAAGTTCTATGAAAAACTATTAAAAAGGGAAGACTTAAAAACTGACAACGTTTTAGGCCATAATTATAAAACTGATTGTATTAAAATGAATAGGTGCATAAAGACATTCAACATAAGACACAATATCAAAATTTATACACAAAAATTTCATATTTAACAAGCATCTATAGAACTAGGACAAAATTACCCCTAATCTTTTAGGGTGTGTTTGGTAGAGTTGATTTGGAGTGATAGGGAGAGAAAAGAAAAGAAAGGATAAGGTAAGAGTGTGTTTGGATAGGTTAAGTGGAGAGAAAAGAGAGGCTATCCCTCCCTATCCTTCATTTGGTTCATCTCCCAATATTAGAAAAGAAAGGATAATAGAGTAAGTGATTAATTAATAATACTAAAAATACCCTCGATAAATTAATATACAAAAAATGTGTGAATGGTTATAAAAGGGTACGATAGTAGTTTGGTCACCATCATTTCTTTCTTTTCTCTCTTCTATTTTATTCAAATAAAAATAACTATCATTTCTTTTCTTTTTTTTTCCCTATATATCCAAACACGAATAAAAATTATTATTATAATTTCTTTTCTTTTCTCTCTTAACTAAGGCATCCTTTTTTTTCTTTTCTCCTTTATCTATCCAAACACACTCTTAAAGATTACCAATTACCTCATTCTCCCTATATATATGTATATATATATAAACACACATTTTCTTTCTCTAATCTTTTAGGGTGTGTTTGGATAATATTAGTTATGAGAGAAAAGAAAAGAAAAGAAAGGATAGTTTAGTGAGAAGAGAAAAGAAAAGAAAAGAAATGATAGTAATAATTTCTATTTGTGTTTGGATAGACCGGGGAGAAAAGAAAAGAAATGATAGTTATTCTTGTTTGGATAAGATAGAGGAGAGAAAAGAA